ACGCCCGCCTCAGAGGAGAACAACAACCCCCCATCTGTGACTCCTGAGCAGAACCGGAGCCGAGGGGGAGGGGTGGTCAGCAGCACCCCGCACCGCGGCGAAGGGGGGCGCACCGTCCCACCTCCAAATGAGTCCCCTGTGGTCTCAAGGTTGGTGGGATTTCTTAAACTCACATTTGCTTGTTTTTCCCCCTTAATGAGGATAGATCTGAGGCGCTACTCTTTGTTTCCAGTGGTCAGAAAGGGAAAGGTCATCCCAGCGACTCGCCTGGGTCTCTATCTCGGAGTAAAGAGGTAAGGAGGCGTCACTAAAGTCAAGCCAAAGTAATGCCCACAGCCTTTCAGGCACAACATAATGCGTTAAATTCATCAAACTAATGTGATATTATTGCTGTATTTTTAGGATGATCAACCAAAAAGCCTGTTTGTACCAGTACACACCCTGGAGGACTCCCAGGCTGTCCGAGCCGTCGCCTTCCACCCGTCTGGTGCTCTGTACGCGGTGGGGTCCAACTCTAAAACTCTGCGAGTCTGCGCCTATCCAGAGAAACTCATCCCGAGGTAACGCAGCTATAGCTAAAGAGCTTTCTTCTATTAGGTGCTTGTTTTGTTTTTGTATGTTAGTTGATGTGTAATGGAGATGCTCAGATGTTCTAGTAGGGTCATTCAGAAAAGCCTTGGTGCTGGCAACTGCATCAGTAGACAAATAACCGTTATATGGCTATAGCCCCATTTACACTACACTCTGAAAACCGATCCGTGGTGAGTTCGGACTGAGCTCGGATCAGTTAACCGTGCTGAGCTTGGTTCCTTATGGCCATTTACACACCAGGCTAACACAGCTCCTCTCCTCCTAGTGACGATCTATGGTATTGTGATATTTTGTTGTTTGTAGAGAGTCAGGTGAAGAATGCAGCCTTTGGTGAATTTATTTGACAGAGTCAGCTTTTGTGAGCCAGAATGAACCGTAGTACTGGTTTGGCGCGGGTCGATTGTGTCCGGCACGGTCCGGTTCTATGTTGCGTGTCATTTACACTCAACAGTTGTCTCGGTTACTGTGGTCAGACCGATCTCGTCACGGTTTCAAAAAAAGTAGTGTAAATGGGGCTTATGTTTGTACTAAATCCTAAGCAGCACACATCTTTCTTAAGTATTTACTATAAGACAATACCTCACTAACTTTATCTCCTATTGTGTGCAGCCTGAGCTGCCAGATGTTGGATATTAGGTTTAATTGGCTGACCAGGTTTCGTACTTTGTCCTTATTATCTTTTATAAAAGATGCATAGCTAAATATCTAAAAATGTAAGCCTTTTGATAATATTTCTCTTTGATTTATTGCATTATCAAACTTTTTGATAGATGTGGTTTTTGAGTCACAGATAGATAACAGGTTTTCATTAGTTCATTCAACAAAAATGTTTTTAAAGAGTTTGTAATCTGTCACAGATAAAAAAAAAAAGAAGTTTTGATTCCAAATAAAATCATTATTTACATCTATAATTATTTTAAATGGCATAATTTGTCTAAGGTACTGCTCAGTGTTGCTGTGAGTAGCACTGCTGCATTGCAGCAAGAAGGTTCCGGGTTTGATTCCTTTCTGCGTGGAGTTTGCATGTTCTCCCTATGCATGGGTGGGTTCTCTCCGGGTACTCCGGCTCCCTCCCACAGCACAAAAACATGACTGTTAGGTTAATTGGCTTCTCTAATTCTCCTTATGTGAGTGTGTGCGTGAATGGATGTTTGTCTCTGCTGCCCTGTGATGAACTGGTGACCTGTCCAGGGTTGCAACCTGCCTCTCGTCTGTAGACAGCTGGAGAGCGGCACCAACACTATCATGACCCCCGCTTGGGATAAGCGTGATGGAAAATGAATGGATGCATGTTTGTTTAAATTTGACATGTCCATTTTACAAATTGAACATTTACCTAAAAGGCAATGAGATAAATGATTATGATCCAACAAGAAAAATACGTTTGGGGTCAGTTATCTTCCATGTTATAAACTGTATAAAGGTTTTTAGGAAGTAAATCTGAAAAACTGTCAGTTTTTAAATGAGCCCTGGTAGGTTATGGTGAGGTGAACTGAGTTGGCATTAGATTTTTTTTTTTTTATTTGATTGAAACTGACATAAATAAAATAAATATAAATGGTAAATACTTAAAAAGCACTTTTTTATAAATTAAAAATATTTCGTAATAACAAACTAAATAGTTGTACTCCTTCCTGTTTCCCTCTCTGTAGCGGTTCGAGCCCAATTAAGCAGCCGGTGGTTCGCTTCAAGAGGAACAAACACCACAAAGGCTCCATCTACTGCGTCGCCTGGAGTCACTGCGGACAGCTGCTGGCCACAGGCTCCAACGACAAATACGTCAAAGTCCTGCCTTTCAGCGCAGAGACATGCAACGCCACAGGTCTGAGCTCTGTGGGAAATTACACCTCAAACGCAGACTTGATCAGTTTTTAAGTTTTGATTTTTTTCTCTGTTCATCCAGGACCGGACTTGGAGTTTAGCATGCATGATGGTACCATCAGAGACCTGGCCTTCATGGAGGGCCCAGAGAGTGGAGGGGCCATTCTGATCAGCGCTGGAGCAGGAGACTGTAACATCTACACCACGGACTGCCAGAGGGGACAGGGGCTGCACGCGCTCAGTGGACACACAGGTTACCATGGAGACCGACCTCTACACGTACACCTGTCTATATGTCTGAAGGACAAAGAACAGACAAAGCTGTTTTTCCTGTTGCAGGTCATATCCTGTCTTTGTACACGTGGGGAGGCTGGATGATTGCTTCGGGCTCTCAGGATAAGACGGTGCGTTTCTGGGACCTCAGAGTGCCCAGCTGTGTGCGAGTGGTGGGAACGGCGTTCCACGGATCAGGTCTGTGTGGTCGGAGCATGATATGTAGCACTGCGGTCAAAAATGAATGGATTATTGTTATGGCCGCCGTCTTTGATGAATTTAAAGAGGATTTCATCTCTTCCTTCACTGAACAGGCAGTCCTGTTGCCTCGGTAGCGGTCGATCCAAGTGGGCGTCTCCTAGCGACAGGACAGGAAGACAGCGCGTGCATGCTGTATGACATAAGAGGAGGTCGGATCGTCCAGGTGTACCGGCCGCACACGAGTGACGTGCGGTCCGTCAGGTTTTCCCCTGGAGCACGCTACCTGCTCACCGGTTCTTATGACACAAAGGTCATGGTCTCCAACCTTCAAGGTATGTCTTTGGATACAATCTGTCCGCTCGGTGAGGAGAAAACGAAAAATTTAAACCAAAACATTTCTGTCCGATGTGCTTGGCAGGTGACCTGACCAAACCGTTGCCCCAGACTGTAGTAGGAGAGCATGGCGACAAGGTGATTCAGTGTCGATGGCACACACAGGACCTGTCCTTCCTCTCATCTTCTGCTGACCGCACCGTCACTTTGTGGACACAAAACCCTTAATTCAAACCAGGTGGAAAAGACGTGCATTAAAACCTAAACCGATGCTTCTCTACTTTTAAGAACGATCACATCCAATCATTCCTGAACCTTTCCGTTTGACGTGCAAAACTAATATGGGTAAAACACCGGGCACATCAGAAGCACATGCTGCATGTTCCATATAGTCCCCCAGGGTTAGAACAGAGTTATTTTCCTTCTATTTCTAAACCGAATGAGTCGTCCTGTTTCTTTTTTTTTTGTTACTCTCTGCATACAAAAGTTTCCTTCTGCATGTCCCTCTCATTTTATTTATTTTTCTATGATGGTGCCTTTTCAGTCTCCATAACTAAAACAAACACTACGGTTATTTAAAAAGAAAAATTCTACATTCCTCGTCTTACATATCGTAATCAGCCGCAGTAAAGCTGCATTTGTTAAAGTGGAGAAAAGCCGATGTAACCTGTACCGTTTTATGTGCGAGTTGGGAGCTATTATACCATTTGTGGGGATTTGAAACATGGTTGCATCCAGTGCATTGCTGCAGCGACGAATGTGTAAATTAGCTGTTTTTTTATTTTTATTTGAATTCAGTGTTTCTATCAAGCTAACGCTTATAGCTAATGTCTAGCAGTGGCTTGCTTGCATTTGAAGGACCTTTAATATTCAGCATCCAGGAGATGTACAGTGTTCAGATTTCAGTTGCACATCCTTACAGGCGTTTTCCAGTGGTAAGCTTTGGTTTCTATGCTGCTGTTGTTGTAGTGTATTAACAGTAGGTGTCGGTCTTGGTCTAACCATATGCACAATGACATCTGGATGGAAACACGGGTGTTTGGATTATTTATTTAGGGCATATGCTTTGTTTTTATATATTTTCATTAACACTGTATTTTATCTGTCAGATTAACTTAAAGATCGATATTTAAGTTTTTTCATGTTATAGAGTATATTGTTTTCAGACATGAGGCCAAACTAACACATAGATGTATTTATTTCAGTGTTTCTGTATGTATGTACAGTTTGTTTTTTGAAATGCTAGCAGCTCTTAAATTAAACCTTTCTAACTCTTGTTTTTAAAATGTAACTTAAATGAACTAAGGCTTGATGAGGTCAGAGTGCTGGTACGTTCAATAAAGTGTCTTTTACACAAAACAAGATCTCTGCAGAATTTTTTTTATTTATTCCTGATCTCACTCAAACATTTCATACAAAATAGCTAAGAGCTTTTATCTGTGATCATTTTTAAGGTATTCTTGTTTATAGAACTTTTGGGGCTTCAAGAAAAAAAAAATCTATACAAACACCTTTCTCAAACAGTCTCATTCACCAACATCAGCAGATTATTTTGGGATGGCAGTTAAAAGAATAGTAAAAAGGTACAATAAATACAAACATAGCTGCAGTTGTGCATTAAAAAATACACAAAGAATAAATGAAATGCATTCATAAAAGAGTAATTTCATAAAGAGATTTAAACAACAAAAGGAGTCCCTAAAGCTACTGCTGAAATTGCTGGTGTGCAAACATCTTTTCCATAGGCTGTACAATGTTTACAGTGCTTTTTTTTTTTTTTGTCCATAAAGAACAACTGTAACGAAACGAGATATTTGTGTCGCAGTCATCGTCCACTTCATGATTTTTTTTGCAAAAGAACAAAAGAAGTGATTATTTTTGTCCCTTTAAGTGCTTTGTTCAGTTCGTGTTGGAGGTGGGCCTTCCTGCAGAGGGCAACGTAACGCGTTGCTCATCCATTCGTTTGGCCTGAGAGCGCATGATGAGGCTGAAGAAGTCCTCGTCGGGTACAGTGGGTCCTCGGACCGGAGGAGGGGGAGGGGCGCAGCGCTGGTCATCCAGACGGGAGCCCTGTAAGGGAGACGTCACAATCAGCAGCAGTTTAGTCCATTCTTCATGTCAGAATTTCTTATTAATAACTGCAAAGTTAATGGTCCTGCCATAAATAGAAGTTAAATTGTAATATTCTGCAACAGGTCATTTTATTTCAGAAATTTAAAAAAGGGAAACACCCTGTGCTTAACAATACATCAAGTCTAAAGTTCAGTTCCTCAGACAGAATATTTTTAAGACCAATAAAAAGGATGTTAAATACAGAAATATCTGCATACTTCAAATAATTTCAATGTCATGTACACTAAAGGCAACAGTACTTGGCAAAGGCTCCTTTTGCATGAGCGACTGAATCCCTGCAGTTTGGCATAGAGATGATTGGTTCTCCACTCCTCCACCAGACTCAGATCTTGATTCTCAAATCTAACATTTAGTTTAAATGCCACAGAGCAACTGTGGCATTTATAATCCAGAATTTAAAATCCAGATGATAAACCACCGCCTCTGGTTCCAGCGTAGCTTTAAACTAAGAATCCATCTCCTGGATAAGTCTGTTAGGCAGCGAGAGTCAGAGCAAATACGCTGTTTTACTACTATAATAGTACCTAGGTGAATCTGCCTCAAATTCTTAAAGATCTGCTTGCGCAGCTCTTCCGATCAGGCTTTTTCCCCTCCCCTTAACTTTCCATTAACGTACTCGTATAAACCACTGAAGTGCCAGTTTCTTTCACAATGACCTTTTGTGGATCATCTTCCTTTTGAAAGAAACAAGCGATGCATTACTGATGTCGATTGTGGTGATATTTATGGACTTAATCACCAAATGTTTAATATTTATATTTTGCGAACCCTCGCCTCTAGGAGCTGTCGATCATCTACCATGTTTTCTGTGAGGAACTGTCTGGGTAGTTGTTCATTTTTCTGAGTGCAGAAAATCTGACCCATTGAATGTTAACATTGATCAATTTTATTAAATTTTGTGTGAAACAAAATGTGTAGTTTTGATCAGATATTAAGTCCTAAACATCCAAATCAATAGCTAATCTTTATTCTTATTTCACTTTTTTTTTTATTTCAGGAAAAAAATGATTGTAAGCAGATATATGATGGATGCGTCTATAAGATTATTTTTGTTTGCTTTTTCAGGCTGGAACATAGAATATTTATAGAAAAGAAAAAGAGGACTAAAAGCAGCCGAGTCTCTCCCAGCTCTGAATGATCACCTGGCACTTGACGAGCATATCAAAGAAGTCGTCATCAGGCTCGGCATTGTCGGCGTTGGCCATCAGGTGGTTCAGCACCGCCTGGTTGCTGCCCTGATTCAGTCTCAGGCCCGGCAGGCTTCCTCCCGCTGCTGACGATTCCTCCAACCGTCTCCCAGAGGATCCTGATATGTTCACAGACTCCGATACAGCTACAGATTAAAACAAATCAATATTAGAAATAAAGCGTTACTCAAGGGATTTTCTTTAATTATTTTTCTTGATTGGTTGTTTGGACTCACATTTTCTGATGGTTCTGGGGGGTGAATCTGCTCCACTGTTTAAGGACAACCTGCTGCCTCTGTCCTGTATGGAACAACGCTGATCATCCATACGATTGCTTTGGAACCGACTCAGAAGGTCGAAGAAGCCTTCATCTCCGAGCATGTCAGGAGAGGGTCGCTGATTTAAAAAGAAAACAAGAAATAAATGAGAACCGATCGGGATCATTAAAGGACATAAATGAGTGCAGCGCTACATACTTTCTGTGGTGCAGATGTTTGACTTGTGTCCAGAGTGTTGCTGGTGTCTTGAAGGACTTTAGTGGAGCCTCCGGCTTTGTTCTTCTTCCCTCGCAGACGGCTGACGAAGAACAGCTTAGAGGAGCTCTTGGTCAGGGAGGGTTTGGATTGCTTGGTCAGGATCTCACTGCTCCACTTCTGACCCTTCAAAACAGAACCAAGCTGATTTAGAAAATAAAACATCTCAAGAAGGGAAATAAAACCCAGAAGACTGATCCTGTTTTCAGGAGCAGTAAAATGCTGCGCTGTGTGAGCAGTTCTTACATTCATCTTGTCAGGTGTGAGTTTCATCAGCTCCAGGTTCTCCATGCTGTGTCGTCTGCTCATCCTGGGCTTTGCTCCTATTTAAAATAAACACAGCATACATTATTCCACCTGCAGTGTATAACTTTTGGCATTTTGAATTAGTATACATTGACATGTTTTTTTTCAGAGGCTGAAGCTGGCAGGTAGTCTCTGACCAAAGCAGACATTCACACTAGATTGTTATTAAGACAGAAAGCAGCAACTATTTACTGGTGAAATAAAGGTCCAGATGATGCACCATTGGGGATGTTCTTATGTGAAACATGTAAACTGACAGGAAACCGCTTATTTTATCCTATGGCTGCGTGTCCTGAGCTCTTAACCTTATCAGCGACCCCTCACACCCCAACCATGGAATATTCTCCCAGCAGCCCTCTGGAAAGAGGCTTCACAGTATCCGCTTCTGTTATCAGACTGTTAAACTCTAAACGGGACTCTGCATTACACTTAGATCGTTATTCTGCACTACCAACTTGCTGAACTTTAATAATCCTTTTAAACAGGACACAATTCAAATGTTCTGCATTTTGCACTATATTCATTTTTGCACTGCACTGAACTTTTTAATATTAATGCCTTCTTGCAACATTATTTGAAACTGTTTCTTTTCTCCTACATTGTTACATTCTGATCACTGCTACATTTTATATTGATAATGTTTATCTTTTTATACTCCAACTCCAATATCATTATACTGTTGAAAAGATGTATGCAACGAAATTTCATTTTGTATACACTCTGTGTATACGTAATTACAATAAATTTTGTCTAAGTTATTTGGTCTGTTCTCAGTAAACAGAAAGAGCCCTGATGCCCCCCCATCTATATTATTAGAAACCTCAGTGCAAATAATAGCTTGATTCAAACTTTGTGTCACTCTAAAGGTTCCTACAATAACGAGACAAAGACCAACTCCTCTAGATTTACATCAACCTCTATTATTTGTACTTTATACTATTTACCAAAGCTAATCTCTCAACTGAACCTCGCACACTCTTGTTTGAAGCAGCAGGATTATCAGGGTTTTACCATGCAGGTTGTAGTCTATTTCCTTATTCTCAGACAGCGTGGAGTTATTTGTGCTGTAGCTCAAACCCAAAACAGTCTGAAGATCTGAGACATTCATACGAGCAGTCAGCTCCCCACTCCTGTCTCCAGTCTGGAAGGAAGGAAAACAAAACGTCCAGTGAGAATAATGCATTGTCAAATGCTCTGGTCAGGGTTTATACTTTCAGTGATTTTAACACATAGGTGGCCATAATGATGGTTACTAACAACAAACTTTAATAATTAAAAATCTCAATTTTAAACCAAAAGGAAGATATTAACTTTTCTAAACCAAAGGAACCAGTCGTTAAGTATCCAACAGGAATGAGATGTAAACATGCAGTAGGACAGATTCTGAAACATAAACCTGCTTCATGTAAAAAAAAAAAAAGATTGATTAAAATAAAAAGAAATGAAAAGATTTGCTAATGAAAGGAGTCAAACAACCTGGTATGTGACACCTGGACACATTTCCAACTTCATAAAGGAGCAAAAAGCAAAATGTCAAAAATTTCTTATTTTAAAAAAAGACTTAAAAATAGTCTTTTGAAGAACTAAATTGACATTTTCAGATGGATTATGGTGAGACGTCACACACCATCTGTGTGCTGTTCTCCAGGCTCTTGTTTACATTGCCAGGCTGACCACGCCTATATGTTCACCTCGTGCATGTGAACAGCCTCCACTCAGGGCTTAACTGATGCTAAGTTGATTAGATTCAATATGGCCTGATGATTCATTTAATTATAAGACAGTTATTATTATTTAATGCAGCCCAGAGGGGCTTGTTGGCGACCCACAGTAATCGTCAAAAAAACATCAAGAACGTCACGAATATTCTTTTTTTTCTGCCCGAATGCCAACACCTTGAGTCTGTTTCCTTTACTGTAAATCAAAATGACAAGACGAGGCAAACAATCCATTTTATATTGTACAACAAAATGGTCTGATTTTCATGTGAGAAATCCATCATATATATAATTAGTATAACCAAATTAGCCGTTGTATGTTATTGACTGTAATAGAAAGTTGCATTAAAATGTAGTCTTTTGATCTACAGACAGTGCTGAACAGCACACCAAGAGGTTAAAACATGCTTTTTGCTCCTTTGAGGCCTAAATTAGATTTAAACTGTTCATAAACCCTGTCTATTGCTCTGCTGTGGTTCAGTCTATCACCTCTTTGCAGATCTCGAGGTGCTTCTCGGCAAAGTGCATGGCTTGATCGTGGTTCCCCAGGGCAGTGTGAGCATTTCCGAGACTCCAGCATGCTCGGCCCTCCCCTATCCTTTTAAAAGAAAAAAAAGAAAACATCTAAATCTCTTGGTATACTATGGTTGAGACATAGCAGACACAATGAACTCTTGTGTGTTTGTACCGGTCGTTGAGGTCCTGAGCTATGATGAGATGTTTCAGGTGATAGTCTATGGCTCTCTCATAGTCCTGAAGTAACGTATAGGTGTTACCCAGACTGTAGCAGGCCTGCGCTTCCACAGCGCGGTCCTTCAGCTGCCTCGCCAGCTGCAGCGACCTCCTGACAGGCAAAAAAGGACAAAGCAGCTTTATTCTGATGCCATTTAATGGTTCCTCTCAGCATTAGAGAAACTTTTTTTTAGTTATTAGTTTTTTAGTAACAGAGCAAATAATTCAGCAGCTCAGACACAACAGGAAAAACAGAGGCTGTGTGATAACGTCACACAGAAAAAACATGCAGAGCTCCATTTATTGTGTTGCTCCAACAATCTTTATATGTGTTATTTATTAAATTATTCATAAACAGTTTTTACATCCTGTCGTATTCTAACCACAGACTTCGAGGAATTTAATTGCGGTCCAATGCGTAGCACTAACCATGATACTTTTCTTACACTTTAAACATGTATGAATGCATGCATGGACCACGGCTTACTTGTAATGCTCAGCTGCCACCTCAAATTCCCCCAAAAAGATAAAAGCGTTTCCCAGGTTACAGTAAGCCCTCCTTTCAGCGGAGCGATCTCCAAACTCCTTGGCTATCAGCAGACGCTAGAAGCAAAGCAGAATGTATTTCAAGGACTGTCAGGGGAGACCACAGAGGAAGGGAGGTCTGTCAGAGGTTCCCCCTTACCTGTTCATGAGACGCCACAGCTTTACCGAAGTTTCCCAACAGGTAGTGTGTGTTGCCGAGGTTACCGTAAGTTCGACCCTGAGCGGCCCGATCTCCGAGCTCCTTCACTATCGCCAGGTTTGCTCTAACGATCCATGTCAACAACAACACATTCGTCCGTTTAGATAAATGCAATGACAGTGAGGTCTGAGTGAGTATGAAGGACTCCCAGACAGCGTCTTAGGAACTTACTCGTAGTATTCTGCTGCTTTCTTCAATGCTATCATCACGTCTTCGGGGAAATCCCCCGGCTCGGCCCCACTCCAACAAATGCTTTTCCCTTTAGCATGGTACACATTGCCAAAGTTATAGAGCGCTCGCGCCTGCCCAACCTGATGTGAGCCAGGAAAACATGCCAAGGGTGAGGTGTGAAAAGCCCAAACAGAACTTCTACATTGAAATCTGGTGATCAGTTTGAATAGGTTCCTCACCTTGTCGTTTATGTCCCTCGCTATGTCCAGGTGCCTCTGACAGCAAACCACAGCCTCGTCAAAGCGACCCAGCACCTTTAACGTGTTGCCAAGGTTCCCGCTGGCTTTGGCCTCTCCAAGCAGGTCTCCGATTGTTCTAAAAGACTCTGTATTTTAGTACAATACATAACTGTATACATTTATAGGGTAGATAAGGTCTTGTTGAAGTGTTTCTAACCTTGTTAAGGTGAGATCATGTCGGTGGAAATCTAAAGCCTTGGCATAGTCATGCAGATGGAAGTAGGCATTCCCCAGTTGGCTGTAGATGGCACTGAGCACCTGCAGGTCCTCTGTGCCCACCTGGATTGCAGCTTCAAAGAAGGAGACGCCCGCTCTGTAGTCGCCCACCTTACAGAGCCGCTCGCCCTCCAGTGCCAGCTCCAGACAGGACACCTCCATCCTGCAGAAGAAAAGAGAAACCCTCTAATTCCTGGGTAGTCAGCTTTAGCTCAAAAAGAAAAGAAGCTACAAAGTGGTTCAACTCGGTAGAATTCCCCCCAAAAAGCTACTGGAAATCAGGTTGCATAAACTGTAGAAGAAAAACTGGCTTTTATGGCTCCAACCTAAAATCAGACGGTTAGACTCCCCCCTCACCACAGGGAAAGTCAAATTCCTTTTAAAGCGAAAAGGCTTTTCATCAGGGAGGCTTTCAGAGCTGCTTCCTGACATCTACAGGAAACAATGGCTCCAACTGGAGCTTGTTTATTATGGTGGCTTTAACATCCGGTCTGCCTTCCCCAGAAAGCTCACCATTCTGTAACAGCAAAAACTGATGGAAACCTACAACATTTTTCTTACGTTAGGTGACAGTTTTAAAATCCAAACCAAGTTAAATTTGCCTCAAGAGCTAAAATCTGATGTTTACATACACTGTATAAAAAGACTGTTAACCTTCAGGCCCTGGTTCATTCTTGTCAGAACATTGCAAAAAAATTTTAATCTCAATATTTTTTTTCTTAAAATAAGTGCATTTTTTCTTGAATTACTGAGGCAAGTGAGCCGCTTTGCCAATGGAACAAGACAATTTACATTTAAAATAAGAAAAATCTATTATATTGCCCAATTTAAGTGCATATCATCTAATTATCTTATTTTAAGAGTAAAAATAATGCCAATTCCATTGGCAAATTAGCTTGTTTACCTACTCAAATTAAGGGCAAATACACTTAAATTAAGACATTTTTAGGTCATTTTTGCAGTGAAGCTTAATGAGGGCCCCTTATAGCATTCAGTAAGGAAAGGTGCTTCTGAAAGAAAATAATTCTGAACCCACTGTGAAAAAAGTGTGGTACAGATTAGGGCTGAAGAGCCACTCGGTGAAGATGAAGCAAGACTCCAAAAGCCAAAAAAAAAAAAAAAAGCCATCTCCCAGCCTGAAAGTACAGCGGTGGCAGAATGGTCCTATGTAGGGGTTTTGCTTCTACTGGTACTGGTGAACTTTACAAAATAGATGGTATCACCCGGAAAGAAATTAGTTTGGAAACATTGATGCAACAATTCAAGACATGATGACAAAAAGTGAAACCTTGGGCAGAAATTCATCTTCTAAACAGTCAATAACCTTTAACCTACTGTAAAATCAGATATAAAAAGCATTATGATAAAAAAAGACATTTCTAAAAAAATAAAGAAAAACTGATCCCAGACCCATAAAAAAGTATAGTTTCAAGGTTGTCATGTAGGGAGAAATTTTAATGTAAACATAAACATTTTTTAAAAGTAAAAAAAAAATAAAAAATCAGAAAAATAATTTGTCTTATTTAGGCAAAAAAACTGCTTTGATAACAGTTCTGTAATATTGGGAGTTCTTCACAGAATTTTGTCTTTTATCTGAATGAAGAAACATGGATATAATTTTCTTGTTGCTCTTAGTTCAATCACAAACTGGTTATGGATTGTCAGACAATGATTAGTACGTTATCTATACATGGAAGAATAAGTAGTCCAGAAACATTCTGGAACTTTAGGTAGATTTTTCCCTCAGGAAAAGATGTTGCGAAAGATTAGTTTTGCTTAAAACATCCAGTTTGGATATAGACATTTTCTCTTGTAAACATACCCATTTGTTATCTAGAAACCTCTAAAAATAAAACAGACCAAGGTGACTTGTACTATGTAATGGCTTATATGCAAGCTAAAATGTTCGGCTGCACTGACGCCAAACACCAACAACAGTAGCTTTTCTCACCATCCAGCAAAGCTATAATTTGACAACAAAAGCAAACATGATATCCCAAACAGTCAAAGCGCAGCTCGGTAGCCTTAATCCTTAAATTAGAGGACAATACCTTTGTTTTCCACCAACCTCATACATTATACCTATTGCTGTGGCAAATACCAGCCTACCTGCCCTCTTTCCGTGCCTTACAGCAACAACAGCAGCGGCACATGGAACACCTGAGTGGCATTTACTGAGGTTTTTCTTGGAAAAAATAAGACTTCCAGAATGCAGCTCCTTGTGTCTCTCTGAAGCAAGGACAGACAACTTTACTCCTGATCTAGTAATCCGCTTCATTAAAAAAAAAAAAAAGGAAAAAAAAGAAGCTTATTGCTGATTTGAAAAATAGATAAAGGTCAAAAACAAATGGTGAGATCAAACGCATAAGCCGTCTGACGTCACAGAGATATCTGAGCCCGAGAAAAGGTTCAAGGAGATGCCCGGGATGTTGTCACAGCATTAACTTCCAATGCATGGCTGCGAGGAAGTTGCTCAGTCAGCACTTTCTCGGCTAATCTGCCCGTCTTTCCTCCTTGTACTCTTGTCTCCTGACGACCTGGTCACCTGAGCTTACATCCGTGAAGTATGCACCTGACAGATTACCGAGCTGGAGAACACTAAGTAGCCTGATTAGAGCTGCCGGTCTCTGTGCTGGGGTCTAATGGAATCAATTCATTGACGTGAACCATCCGGCCAGTTTAGAGACATCGGCCCCCACTCCCCCACCCCCAACGATGGCTTAGTACAGGCGTCCCCTATCCAGATTAAGTGGACACACGTGGGCAGACACAAATTGGGATGAATTTTTCAGGACTTTTTAAATATTTATGCCAGGCAGGAAGTTCCTTCAGCGGGTCACACCTGCTGCAAGAGCACTTTACCTGAGTTTGTAGGAACAGGCTTTCCATGCTACAGTTCAACTTTGATTACTGTTTTTATCTCAAACGGCAGCCCAACATCAGCAAAAAAACAGCACAGATGTGTTGATATAGAGAACCTGTCTACAAATAACCCAAAACGGAGCAACATTTGAACCATTGAAGGCTGAAAGAGGCCTTCACACTACTATAATCGACTGGTCTGTAAGTGAGAGAAGCAAAGTTCCTACCTGTAGCGGACATGAAAGGGCTGCTCCTCAGCTCTTGTGCTAACCACTGAGCCACCGCTGTCCATCGTAGTGCATAATATGAGGGAAAATCCCAGTTTCGTTCCCGACAAAATGGTTGCGGTTGAAAAATAGCACAATCTCAAGTAGAAAAAAAAAAAAAAAAAGAGTTTGGTGACAGTCACATAAAGTCACCAAGTGTGACAAAAGCTGCAGCTGTCGCTGTGCTGAGAGTAAACTCAGAGAGGTAAGCCCATGAGTGTTAGAGCCGACGAGTCCTGAGAGCGAGTCCACACAGCTGCTCTCGTATATTGTGTGTTTTGCGTCACCGCCTCTCTGTGAAGAGAACACAAGATGCTGAATGTGAAGCCTCTTTCTGGCTACCCGCTTCCATGGTAACACCAACCAAACAGCAGCACGGACAAGTGGGGCAAGCAGAAAGGGAGAGAGCGGGGCGGGATAAAACAAGGACGGGGCCGGTTGAGCCGAGCTGTCAGTCCAGAAGACAGTGACTCAGTTCATCCAGGCTTGGAGTGCATTTGTATGTGTGTGTGTGTGAGACCTCTTAAGTTGCAACAAGGTGAGAAAGCTGTGAAGGTCTTAGGATGTAATGTTTGCTAGCAGAAAATATCTGGAAAAAGAACAAGTGTCTTGAAACCTGTTGCAGGAAACAAACGGAAACTGAGAAAAAGAAAAAAGAGTCAAAAAGCCATTCACCAGAGGAAGAAAAGGTTAGGCCAAATCCAAAGAGTGACTGCATGATGTAAAAGAGCCAAGCCAGCCATTACCTAATTTCTCCATGAGGTCATACAAGCCACCATTAAATGCCCCCAGTTTAAAATGAGGTGCCCCGCCCCTTTGTGTACCACACAATGAGAAATAGAGCAGGCAAGCTTTAAACAAAATGGGTTAAACCCTTTAGTCTAATTGCTGAAATACTGCAAAACAGGAGAAATATTCATTTTTTCTTAAAGCAGCTTGAGCCTCTCTGGTACCACAAACATCTCCATATCATGCATGATTGTTTAACAGAGATAAGCTAAGGTTAAAGTCTGAACTACACATTTTTTAAATAAGAATGACTGAAAAGTGTGGTTGTTTAATGTCAGGCTCCATAACTCAATGCTTTATACCACCTTGAGATATTTTTGTTTGACCAAAAAGGTTTCTAATAGTAAAATTAGCTCCCCAGCATGGCTTCCAGTTCTGCAATAGCCTGGTTATGATTCATTTATTAGATTCAGACATGTTGCACAAGGGAAACATGTCAATCATGCACAACACTGGACCTTAAAGACTGAGTCTGGACACCACTGGGCTATGTTATTAAAAGCTTTGCACATCAGGAGACTATTTTAATAGGTTTGATGTAAACCATTCAATTGAAACTACAGCTGTATGTTAAGGGTCACTGGAAGGTGAACCTCATATCCAGTTTACCCAGCATGATGCTGCCATCACTCAGAGGATAATGAGTGCAGAGTGATGTGCTGTGTTGGTGTCCCTTTGATTATAGAGTTTATCAAGAAAACCATTAAACAGGGTTTCTACAGGAATGAATAACTCTAATTTAATTCTTTTTAATGCTCTTAGAAATAATTTTAATGCCACCAACAGGTACCCGTCGACAGGCTGCAGCCATTCCCCAAATTACTCATTTTCCAACCACTTTTGTTGAAATTGGCATTCTTCCCCATTCTCTAGCTTTTTCTCCGACTCAAGCTTTTTTTCCTAACATACGTCTTTGCGATCAACTGGAAGCAGTTCCACGCAAATATTTCGTGATATAATATGTCTGACAAAATTGTTTTTTATAAAAATGTATTTTTTTTAAAGAAAGCATTTTAAATGCCACAATAAACACATTTAATTCATTTTGATGCCAATTAAGGCCTTAATAAAAAAATAAAAAAAATTTAATGACTTAATTATTTTTAATGACCCTGTTAAAAGTTCAACTTTGGATACTGATTTTGAAGACCAAAACAAGTTTGCATTTATAATGCAGAAATGTTGCAATCTCCAAGTAGCTGTAGGGGAGGGGCTTCCCTTCATGTGTGCTATCATTTCAAAGCTAACGCAGGTTTTATCAAACAAAATGAGATATAAAGTAGATTTAATAACAACTTTGCTTCTTTGTTTTATACTTTAATCATTTTATGTCCAAAACTAAAAAAAAAATAGTATTCTATTTTGTTCATAAAAGACCATCTTAATAAGCAAAGAGGTAGAAATTGACAGAAGGATACAACTGTGCATATAGTACTAAGATTAGTCTTTTTGCTATAGGTTTACAGTCAACCTTGTTAGCAGAAATGTGGAGATTATGTGAATATAATTCAGATATGGCATCTTAAATTTTGCCAAGTATAAATAGTGCTTTTAATAAATCCTACAGCATACCGGTAAAAAGGACGTGTTTAGAGTCTATTTAGATTTATCTGGTTTTCAGAGATTTATATTTATATCCGATAAATACTAGCCTATTATAAAACTTACTATGAGCAGAACTACAACAACAATTTCAACTCTAACAAAAGCTCTGGACTGCTCTTAGAGCACACTGATCAATGATTAGGAATATTGTTTAATTCTATCAAAGAACTGCTGAACATGTTTCCACACCTTACAGTAACTGCCATCGAGTTATCCCGCCTTTTCTGTTGTTATGAGCCAACTGGCTGTGTTTCTCTCCCCATTTTTATTTACTCTGCTTATACCAGGACAAACAATGCTTTAGGAAATGCTCATAAAGAGAAAAACAAAAAAAAAGTAGATCTAACAATGATGGCATAATGGGAGATAAGGACCGAGTCTTTTTAAAGGCACAAGAAAGATGTGATTTCATTTAAAAAAAAACAAGGTAGTTGTGATAGTTGCGGTCTGTTTTCTTTTGGCCTCAAAGCTCTGAAATTACTACTGCCGCTGACAACCACATCTAAATATGGGTACATCACTATTACACAGAGAGGCAGACAGAGGCTGCATCACAACAAAGAGACCAAAATAACTCGGTTAGTTCAGGGATACTGACCGGTAATTCTTCCACACAGGGACAGGAAATCTGGGAAGCCTGGAAGGAAAAAAATAGACCATGAGTAACTCATTCAATACATCGTTACTCCCTTGCCTCCTCAGGTTTTTGCAATAAAATTAAAAACAAACACACAATTTCTAAGTTATGTTTCTTGTAATCTGTCCACTTGTAGAATGGTTTTCAACACCCCTGGAGAACGGGCCCTGGCCCGTGCTATGGGCCCTATACTGAAAGCATCCGCTATATAAATTGAAATATAAGTACATTTTTCTTGAAAAAGGTGTATTTTATCTTAATTGGAGCAGGTAGCCAAGTACATTTACTAATGGAATAAGAGGATTTAATTTTAATATACGGTAAGAAAAAAAAACAAATACTGTACTACCTTATTTTAAGTGGGTAATATACATTTATCTTATTTTAAGTGCAAAAATTTTGCAAATGATCTTAAAGGGCCGCCCCAATCCAATATTGATTTGGGAAATTGGTCCAATAAGAGACAGAAAATGAATATCTGTATATACTGGCCTTCCTCTAAAATGTCATATATTAGAATGCTCATTGAAACACTTTGCTTCTATCAACTTTTGTTAAATTTTATTTAACTTTTTAGTGAATAAGAAATTGGTCAGTTGTTATCACAGCTGATGTTAAGTATTGTTCTCTATTTGAGAAATATCACTTGATTAAACTTTTTGCCATTCTACACACAAAAAAAAAATTAAATAAAAATATGTATGGTTCATGTTGATATTGTATCGGGTTAATATCAGTGTCATTCAATAAGGATGAAGTATTGGCATCATATAGGAAGTGAAAATGTTCTATCAGGCGATAATCTTATTAACCTGCTCAGCTTTAGGGGAAATACTCTTATTATAAGAATTATTTACTTTTTTAGATCAGATCTTGCTGTGCAGAACCAAAGTCTTACCATCTTAAATATAAAGAGAAAGCTTTTCTTTATTTATCTTTTTTAGATAAAAAAGATGTTTTAGGATTAATATACTTCTTATTTTGAGAATATATATTGTGGTTTCAAGAAGTTTTCCAAAGCGAAATTTTGTCACTACATTGGCAGATTATTGAACTTATTCTGAGTAGAATCTTAAAAGAAAATGAATAATCCAGCAAAATATGCTCTTGCTTAGTGTATGAATCTTAAAATACTTTTTGGCAAGAGCCTGGTTAGATGGACAATTCTTGCTGTGAGTAAATGACCGAGTTATTAGTTCACATTTACAATTTACTTTAACAATTATTTGAAAATAATAATCACCTGTAATCTTAAGCCATATTAAGATACGGCCAGTTTTCACAGTTTAGATCAGGAGTCTACAACTATGGCTACAACTACGGTACTACTGCTCTTTAGAGGTAAACAAGCAGACCAGCATGGCAGTGCTTATAACATTCATGAAGGTTGGTTATAATTGTGATATTTCCTTGTTTGTGGAGAGTCAGACGAACAAGGCAGCCTTTGGAGAATTGACTTGACAGAGTCGGCTTTTGGGAAGTGGATATGACAAACGATAGTCTAATCAGGGCTTACAGTAGCAGGAAACAATGATAGACATTAAGGTTAATCACACTGCTAAGCAGAACTATCACTGGAAATCATGTGGCATGGTAGGGAAGCCAGTATTTTTATGAATGTCTGAAATTTCATGATTACGGAAGGTGACTGTAAGGAGATGGCGTGGTCTGCTCATGCACTCTTTGTTTTCTGAGAACTGAGCCAGAACTGAATCGCATCCTACTGATGAACTAGTAACATGCAGTTCAGTTGTGTTTGACAGGGTCCGGTGCAGTTGTGCGTGCCATTTACACTCAACAGTTGTCTCGGTTACCGTGCTCGGACCGATCTCAACACAGTTTCAAAGAGGTAGTTTAAATGGGACTATAGTCCCTCCAACGTGTCCTGGGTCATCTTCTAGGCCTCCTCCCGATGGGACGTGCCTGGAACACCTCCCAAGGGAGGCGTTCAGGTGGCATCCGAAAAAGATGTCCGTTTAAACTCAACTGACTCCTTTCGATGTGGCGAAGAAGGGGCTCTATTCCAACCCTCTCCTAGATCCCGGGACGGGACACCATTTTTTTCTGTGGGAGTGGGACGGGACAGGAGTGAAAATCCACTCCCGTGTCAGTCTCTACCTCAGACACGAGGAGATGATTCATCACACTCTGCTGCTAACCATCCCAGTGCATGCTGTAGGTCCTGGAAGGTGGGAACCAGCAGAACCACATGATCCACAAAAAGCAGGGATTATTTTTTTTTTTTTTATTCCATGAAAAAAACGGGCCCACTATGCCCCCCTGGTTAACTTGGTCTAGAACCGCCACTGCCTATAACACATCTGTTCAGGCAGATTTAGTTCTCTTCCCCAAAATCCCCTCATTTGTAGATCAGAATCAAAATAAAGGCCAATAGGTTTAATAAAACATTACCATATGTTTCCTAGACTGATAAACATTTTAGCCAATACTATATGCAAGATCAATAACCAGGGTTTACAATTTACCTACAGTCTAACAGGTCTAGTATGATCATATTCAAGTATGTCCTATTAGTTTTTTTTATAAATGTATTTCATGACAAAATGATACGGAATATAATTGCTCTTATTTTTAATTAATTAAAAGCAGAGTTGGGATTTTCCAGATATAGCTCTTAACTTTCTAAAGGTTTTTTTTTAAATATCTTTTAAAGTTTGCATGAACAGAACCCCTCGTCCACTTATGTGCCTCCAAGTAATATAAAAACATATTTGTCTGAAATGACCACGTCTATAGAGCTCGGAGTTTCACTTTCCAGATGTGTGTCTATCAAAGACATAAAAAAAAAATAATACTTCAGCCGGTTGAAGCGTTTTGTTGTTAGTGTATCCTCTCTTTATAGCCACACATTAGCACCGTTAGCCAGTTAGCCGCTAAACTTACGTTAACCGATCCAGCTCGAACAATGGTGAACTGTCTTCTTTTCTTCAACTTCGCTCACTATCAGAACGTCGGCCCTCTTCAAATACAATGCCTTAATTTTAAAGAAAAGGGAGTAACGGAAACAGCTAACCGCTACATTATTTTACAACATTGCTAGAACTTTGTTTAAACTCCGGTTTAAAAACGTAAATCCCTGCGATTATATTCATTATATGTATGTTTTCGTGAAGTGACCAATCAGAAAGCAGAATTCAAAGAAAGCCACGCCCCGAATAGCAACCATTGGACCAATAGATTTGAATAGAGAAGAGATGACGTGCTTCACTAACTTAGCTGTCAGTGCCAGTTTGACACGCCTTATACTTCAGCTTCAGAACAAACTGTTTCTTTTTGTATTAAGGAGGATTATTTCAAAACAATAAATGTATGTAAACACGCGATATAACAATATTAACGGTCCAAAACACCCTGTTCTTACTAAAACCCATTACTAACTCAGCATATAAGGTTTCCCCTTCGTTTCCCATAGCAACCAGACCGAGCTCGCGTTCTTCCAGGTCCAGACGGCCTGCGCTACAGTGTGGGCTGCATTATTGATGATACCACAGAAACTTTAGCCGTCCCAGAACTTATAAGACAAAAGAGGAAGGGAGGGAACACTGTAGCAACTCTTGACAGCAGCAGGAGGTTGTTGATCCATCTAAGGTGATGTCACAGTGGAGAAGGAGCAGCTCATAACCACAGTGAGTTTACACCAACATCTGCAGAACAGAAACGTGGAAATATTTTTGGACACTCGAAAATTATAACTGTTTTGAGACAGATGTAATGTTGAAATTTAATTGTGCTTCCTATGTTTAAGAATCTACATTTAAAATCTGTCTTTGCTGAGTAATTTCTTTTTAATGCTTTCAATTATATAAAAGTAAACTATCTCACTGACAGATAAATGACAGTACAAGAAGTTAATTGGCATGTATTGTTAAATCTATTTATCAAATAAATCTATCTATCTATCTATCTATCTATCTATCTATCATCTATCTATCTATCTATCTATTTATCTATCTATCCATCAGTCTGTCTGTCTAGCTATATATTTGTCTGTCTGGCTATATTGCTGTTAACCTAGTAAAGCAGCATTTCAGATACAGAGCACGGGAAAATGTATTGAAAAGCCTCTTAAAGTTAAAGGTAAACATATTCTTAACTCTGCCACCTAAATAATATTTTCCTCAACAATGCCATTTTCCAATCATATTCAAGTTCAGTTCTACTAAATAAATTTTCAGTTTCTTATTTCAATTTAAAGAACTATAACACATAAAACAGAAATAATTAGCCCTTAATAAGGTCCTTTGATACTGGTAAAAAAGATATAGAGAGTGTCCCAAACCCTCTAGCATAAACTAAATACCTCATATTCTGGACATTTAATCAATAAAAAAAAAATCTATTTATGTATGTTTTTGTTCATTTTTAAAACAATAATCAAACTGAGGGAATCAGGAAATGGATCCCTTTTGAATTTCTGGCTGATTAATCGGTGTTTCTCGAGAAATAACTTTTCTTTGGACCCACAGCGTTAAAAATAAACAAAGAAAGAAAAAGACAATGTCGCAGAATCTAACTGCATTAAGGATTTTGAAAAACTATAATATATGGTATAGTTCTGCTAGAAGTTTCTTCCTGTTAAAAGGGAGTTTTCCTCTCCACCGTCGCTACAAGGATGCTTGGTGTGAGAGATTGCCTTGGAATCACTGAGTCGATACAATCAACTGGTTTTACTTAGTTAGAAAACTTTGAGCCAACCATACTGTATATCTTTTTTTCCTCCATCCTTTATTGTCATTACAGTGTCACAAGTACAGAGCACAAAAATGTACTCTTTGCATTTAACACATCCGCTTGGGGAGCAGTGGGCTGCCATTGTTCAGCGCACAGGGAGCAGTGTGGGGTTAAGGGTCTTGCTCAGGGACCCAGAGTTCTATGCCCTAACCACTAGGGTCAAACTCCTCTGAATTGGTTGAACTGTCTCTGTAAAGTGCCTTAAGATGACTTATGTTGTGAATTGGCTCTATATATATAAGCTGAATTGAACTGATTTAAATCAAATTTAGAAACAATCAAAGCAGTGTACACAGAGTTCTTATTTCAAAGACTCTAGTCTACAACATTGAGCTAAGGGTGAGTAATACTTTGGGTCAAGGATGTCTTCAATTAAATATAGCAGGAACAGAGTTTGACATTTAAAGTGTCTGAGGTATGAAGACGAACCAGCAAAGACTCTGTTTCCTTTGACCAGGGGTCTAAAGGGATGTAGGGAAGAAAGAGGCTGTGGTGTTTAAGTGGGCTAATATACAGATTTATTGAATGATGTAAGAAAAGACCCACTGATCATCCCAGCTGCATCCACTGTACCATAAAAGGTCTTCTTGTTGCATACAGTGTAGCTCTGAAACAATAAACTGACAGCTGGTAAGCTGTTGTCAATTTGTTTGTTTTTTTTTCATCAAGGCGAGGCCCTGTATTCACTGAGTCTCAATCTTTAGAGACATTTCATAATCTGGATGCCAGTCCATTGGACCAAGAATCCTTTAGTTAAAAAAAGTTTCATGCATATATTTTAACGTTGGATCTTTCACACAATTTCTTTTTTCAACACACCAAATACTTCACATAAATTTCAAACAATAGCTTTGGATAGTTACGCTACACTTTGCTATAGGCATTCTGTTGAATAATTCATACCTTTAAGACATTATGATCCAATGTTGTCAGTTAACAACCTGTGTTGCTAAGGGATGAACAGGTGTTACATGGCCCTCTCCGTTTTTTCTGCTCCAAACACAGGTAAGAAGAAGCTGAGTCACATATATCTTCATCTGAGGGAAAATTCGATGGAGGAATCTGACGACTTAGATGAGGACGTCCAGGGAGAGGGCAAACCCACTGTGCTGTGGGAGAGGTGCATTCAGCAGAGCATTGTATTTGAGCTCAGTGAGGATGAAAGTCTCCACCTAAGTGATCTGGAGAGCTCCTTAGCTTTACATCTGTCCCAGGCAGAATCAACTGCCTCAGAAGCAAACATTCATCTCAGCGGTAAGTCAATTAGTAGCTTTCCTTGTCTCTACTTTGCTAATTAATTCAATGCAGCTGATATGATTAAAATCCTGTTGTAGCCAATTGTTCTATGATCCTTTATGTCAATTTAGTAGCATGTTGTTAAACAAAGTAATGCCTGTGACTTTCATGTTTTGTATTGAGATTTGAAGATGACAAGAAGAACAAAATTGTTAAGTGAAAGAAAAATCATACATGTTATTTTGTTACAAAATACACATTTAAAAAGTGTGGTGTGGGATTTCGGAGTCCTTGTGTTAGTTCTTTGTAGAACCATCTTGAATTACTATACTAATTAGGGATGCACGATATAATCGGCCCCCTATCGGTATCGGCCTGTATCGGCCTTAAAATTGAATATCGGACAT